CTGGACACAAACACTAGATATAGACCACTGAGAGACCTGGACACAAACACTAGCTTTTGATCACTGAGAGACCTGGACACAAACACAAGCTTAAGATCACTGAGAGACCTGGACACAAACACTAGCTTAAGATCACTGAGAGACCTCGAGACAAACACTAGCTTAAGATCATTGAGAGACCTGGACACAAACACTATCTTTAGATCACTGAGAGGCCTGGACACAAACACTATCTATAGATCACTGCGATACCTGGACACAAACACTAGATATAGACCACTGAGAGACCTGGACACAAACACTAGCTTTTGATCACTGAGAGACCTGGACACAAACACAAGCTTAAGATCACTGAGAGACCTGGACACAAACACTCTCTATAGATCACTGAGAGACCTGGACACAAACGCTAGCTATAGATCACTGAGAGATCTGGACACAAACACTAGATATAGACCACTGAGAGACATGGACACAAACACTTGCTTAAGATCACTGAGAGACCTGGACACAAACACTATCTATAGACCACTGCGATACCTGGACACAAACACTAGCTATAGACCACTGAGAGGCCTGGACACAAACACTAGATATAGACCACTGAGAGACCTGGACACAAACACTTGCTTTAGATCACTGAGAGACCTGGACACAAACACTATCTATAGATCACTGAGAGACCTGGACACAAACGCTAGCTATAGATCACTGAGAGGCCTGGACACAAACACTATCTTTAGATCACTGAGAGACCTGGACACAAACGCTAGCTATAGATCACTGAGAGACCTGGACACAAACACTATCTATAGATCACTGCGATACCTGGACACCGATACTAGCTATATACCACTGTGATACCTGGACATAAACGCTTACACGACTATTTACCTTACCCTGCTCGGAGATCAAGTCCAGTTCCGTTAAACATTTTAAAATATCACGTTTGTGACTTGTTTACATAATTTCGTAGTAAGTTACACAACCTCATGATTCACACTGCTTTAACATGCTATTTGCATTCGTGGTCTAACGCATCTAAATATGAGTAGGTGTTATATTTAAGTGTATAATTTAAGAAATTGTATTAAATGTAGTGTGGCCGGTTTTAATTGTTCATCACATTACGGTCGCCTCCTAGCTTCGTGCTAGAGGTACATGTAATTTCAAGGCCGTACAGCTGTGAACTAATGTCAGGTTTTTCCTAAGCTGAAATCATTAATATCCTCTTGAGTAAATCTAAATATTTGCATAACTGATGCACCCTTTAAAGCCATTAACTTTTTAATGTATTGTTTGCGTGCATCCATCTAAACCATTTCGCCGCAACTATTACTGTGGTATTCAAATGTTTACTTATAAACCCACTCGCTAAATAAAATAATACATTTTGTTTATTTTTCATAAACATTACAAGTGGCTAGAAATATGAAATATTACATAATGCAGAGAATTAATGGACAGACGAGCGATTGTTCATTTGATAACAAATAAGAAATGAAACAGGTTTCAAATTGTCATTTTGTTTATGTTATTTATAAATCACCAAACTATATACAGTCCAGATTCATGAGAAGTGTTAGAGTTGTTACAATTAAACATCATCTTCAACCTCCTGCAAGTTATGAAATATACAAATTAGATTATAATTAATTTCACGTGGTAAGTCTATCCACCTTCCATGTTCAATTTTGGCAGCCTAAAATTACCTCTTGTAGTACTAGTAAGTACACCGCTACACTGTTTTGTTTCCTTTCTCCTTCCTGTGCTTTGGTGTCTGTTAGAAACATGTTGTTTATTTATCGCCTAGACCCCTGTAGCTATGGTGTCTGTTAGAAACATGTTCTTTATTAATCGCCTAGACCCCTGTAGCTATGGTGTCTGTTAGAAACATGTTGTTTATTTATCCCCTAGACCTCTGTAGCTATGGTGTCTGTTAGAATCATGTTGTTTATTTATCGCCTAGGCCCCTGTAGCTTTGGTGTCTGTTAGAAACATTTTGTTTATTTATCGCCTAGGCCCCTGTAGCTTTGGTGTCTGTTACAAACATGTTGTTTATTTACCGCCTAGACCCCTGTAGCTTTCCCCCCTGTTAGAAACATGTTGATTATTTATCGCCTAGACCCCTGTATCTTTGGTGTCTGTTAGAAACATGTTGATTATTTATCGCCTAGACCCCTGTATCTTTGGTGTCTGTTAGAAACATGTTTTTTATTTATCGCCTTGACCCCTGTAGCTATGGTGTCTGTTAGAAACATTTTTTTTTATCGCCTTGACCCCTGTAGCTTTGGTGTCTCCTAATTTTGTTGTAGTTTTGTGTCTCTCCGGTTCAAGTTTAGTATATCTACAGGTCATGCTGTTGTCTTGTTGTTAATGACATTGAAAGACGAAGGTAAGACACAGACATGTGTTTGTACCTCTACAGTTTGGTAATAGATACCAAACACCAATTACACTGCACCAATTGCGATGTTGTCAATGTGTATTGCAGCTATCGTTTTTATGCAAATAATATATAAATGATATCATGAATTTCGGAAATGTTATATATCATGATTACTATTTGTGGCGATCCAATTAGGGCCAGTTCCGTGTTCTGTCTTGAAATTGTCTTATTACATTGCCTATTTACTGATCTGTGTATTCATTTGAACTCGGACTTCAAAACACTATCAGGCATACCTATATATCTCGGTACACACTATTATGTACAAATACTTTCCGAAGAGCTACGTCTGCCTGAGCTAGCTAACGATAAATCTAGACAAGGCAGCATTCACCAAGGAAGATAAAATCAAATAGATCTTCGATTTTTGAATAGAAAGATATAAAACTGTGTACTAGAAGAGTCTGGAGACCATGTAAACCTTTGGAATTCTGCTGAAATGAATTTGGTTATCAGGGTTACTTTTGAGCTTGGTAAGGTCAATATTGCATCAAGCCTAGACTGTAAGGTATGGTATCCAACGCACCGATCGAAACTGAACTCCCATTCCAACATAAAAAAAAAAAAATTAAACCCGTTTACGATTTGAGTAGATTATATTTTTGCCATTGTATATCTTACTTGTGTTATTTTTCAACGTTTTCAACAGCTTACAAACAGTGAATTGTGTATATTTTACATGAAATAACAAATGTGTGTAGCGTCGAATGTTCCAGTTTTTACATCGTTAAGTAACTGTATTCCATCGACCTGAAATATTTATCCTACCGACATATTGCAATAAATCATAGTAATTCATTTCTTGAAAGCAGTGCCGCAACAATATATCTATGAAAAGTACATCAATAAATTACTTAAGGATTGACCTTCATTTTGACGGCGTATACGGTAGTATGAACGCAGTTGGTAACGAACATATTCTCTATGAAGCGCGTAATTGCGTTCATACTACCGTATAGCAGTCAAAATGAAGGTCAATCCTTATATTAACATTTGGTTGAATGTTTAAATGCTACATTACGCAGAAAAAAAGTCGAAGAGGGTTGCCACGATGGTAACTACGGCGGCCGTGGTTGCTAGAACAATATAGTTTCAGAGAATCTACATCGATAAATGAGTAAATTTAGAAAATACGCAGTGAACAACTCTATTTTGTTTCCTTTATGGGCTTTAAATTTCAAATAAAGCAATGCGAAAAGCCCTTCGAACTTTTCTATTAATTTACAACGGTCGCCATGTACGCGTATTAACACACTGCTCAGTGACGCGGTCAGAACGAAACCGCCATTGTCGACGTTACCGCCAAAGAAATTTGAATGTGCATCCATGTAATAAGAAGTTTGTCAGCATTATTTCGTTGTATAATTAGACATAATGGATTCCGAATATCAGTATGAATCATCCAAGCATTGGTTGTCATTGGACTGTTATCTCGCTGAAGCGTTAACGGCGCCATATTTGAAACAAGTATCAATCCGCCAAGCCTTTTTTCACTGCGTATGTACTTGGCTGAAGAAGGGAGACATGTAAATATTTTCCCTTATTCTACAATGAAGTTGTATATCATTATTATAATGGTTGAGCTTTATAATGTTTTTTCCTGGTATTACAGGATGAATATAACAAACTTGCTGTTTATAATTAATCCCTTCGAGAAAATGTTCTTATATTTTTACATCACTGCAATCTCCGAAATTATTGAATGCGCAAAACTTGACCTTCTTATACTGATGACTCTACTTATATATATTCTCATTTTGAATTTCAGCTCTAGTTCAAGGGTAAAAATAGCAAAATGAAACGAATGGTAAACATTCTCAATTTACGGTATGTTGTCATGTTACTCCTTGTTTGTTATGTTATAAGACAGGTGAAGGGTGTCCGTTTTATTTTATGTTACATAGGTGTTATTTAATGTTATATTCCGTCTTTGCGTATGGCAGAGTTATCTTCTCTTGTGAGCAGGTATTGATTGCTACTTCATTGGTTTGTGTGAGAAAATTACGTCGTTTTCTCAAAATCTGATGACGTTACTCTCACAAACAAATGACGTAACAATCAATACCTGCTCACAAGAGAAGATAACTCTGCAATATGCAAAGACGGAATAGGTGTTATTTAATGGTATATATGTGGTATGTTATGATGAATAAGTGGGGTTAATTTTAACATTGCCTGTTTGACGGTGTATTTTCAGTAGGTATCAATTATGACTTTTATTTTGGTGAATATAAATGTGATTACATGAACTTGGATTTTTTTCGGTTAATGTCATTTTCAGGTCAATATAACACATATTCACCGAAATCAAAACCCTTAATGGTTATATTACATGTAGAAATGAAAGAAAGGATGTTTATATTTCTAAACAAGATGGAACCTTAGCAAGTCGTCAAAGGCTGTGTACTTCATTGAAAGCATTGTCATGGTACAATAAAAGTGACTTCATGAAGTATATTGACCAAAATCACAAATCATCGACCACTATGTAAATATGATCTAGCCGATACAAATGTAGAACAAATGGTATCAACTAATATTATCTAATTACCATCCTCATCCACCTCGTTAATCATGTCTTGTAACTCAGCTTCTGTCGGGTTCTGTCCTAGTGACCTCATCACTGTTCCCAACTCTTTGGTTGTTATGGTGCCGTCGCCATCTTTGTCGAACAGGCTGAACGCCTCTTTGAATTCTAAGGACAAAAACATAGAGCATGGGGATTTATCTATCTTAGTTGAACTTCAATTAATGAGCTGTTAAATAAAACGTAAATAGAAGACATCTTAAACTATCACAAAATATATATACTTGGTGTTCGGTTAATTTTCATAAATACTTGAGCTTTGAAAGATATACATATATTAAGCTAACCTTATGAACATCCTTTACTTACCATCTATTTGATCTTCTGTGAGGGCATCCGTCTGAAATGACAGGAATGGTAACATATATATATACCATAGTTACGTCTATACATTTGCTACTTCAAGATGTATTTATCTTTTCTTTGCTTAGACCGTTCAATAACTAACAATGAAATGTCGTGACAACTTTGCAAACGTTTAATTGAATTATTACTAGGTCGTACGATAAACATTAAAATGCTGATCTTTTTTTGTACTGTGAACTTTTCCTTTCTTGACAGCAACATCCCTTCCTACCCTACCCACAATGTTTCAATATTGCAGTTGGTTATTCAAAAATCAAATCAAATATATTGGCAGTTTTAAGTTCAGTTTTGTGATCAGATTTGAAAATATTTCATTACTTTGTTCGATATGAAGATTGAATTTAATGCTCATGCCGAAAGGTGTCTTGTAATTTCGTTACAATGTATCACCTATATTTACATGGTGGGTATCGTCGATGAAGAACACAAATCACACTTCTGGAACATCTAGTCTTCTTTTCTTGGTACGTTATTATCTTTATAAATGTAGCGTTTTCTTTGATCATGTTTTGCCCTAGTAAACATTTTTTTGTTGCTTTTTGATTTTGGTATTACTCATGTATAATTGTTATGTGGGTGGTATTTGATTTCAGTTGTTTGTTGTGTTTCCTCGGTATTTTAGACTCATTATTGTATTTCCTGGTACATGTATCTGTACTCTGCGCTGATAATACATAAAGGTTAGCTTCTTGAAAATGTATATGGCGATATTGTATTAAGGTACATGTGATCAATATGTCAATGAAAAAAGCACAACTTAACATAGTGTTAAATTATAAGTTTGTTTTAAGCACAAACAGCAATTGAAAATGTATTTTGAAAACGTTGGGTTTCTTTGTCACACGAGTGGTGCAAAAGACTAGGGTCTCGACTCTAAACCGCTGAACACGCTATAGCCACAATGTGCCACATCAGTTAATCCAACAACGGTGTTCTAAATATTAGTATAAGGAATGCAACATAGTCAGTGCAGCACTCGAACTCAAGACCCCCGATCACTAAACTGCCGCCCTTACTACCTGAGCTACCAGGTGAATGAGTCAATTTAATCCGAAACAAATTTAAGTAGAGGTAATAACTGTATGCACGAGAAAACTTCAGCAAGCTACACTAACATTCTCTAGTGTTTTGTCTGCAATGCGACATGGGTCTTTAACGAAACGTCGATAAGAAAATACAACTATGGGAATTAGGGATGTACCATGTGAGGAAGAACAGCATTAACCACTACAAAAAAACAAAATGTGGAACCAACAGTTTATTTCTTACAAAAAATATGAAAATAACAAAAAAAAGTGTGGATTACACACACTGTGTAAAATCGACCAATACCAAAACAACAAAACAGGAACCGCTAAGAAAAATAAAAGAATGGTACTTGACTTATAATTTACTGTGCGTATAATCAATATAGACCAAAATATCAAAATGGTTAAACCAGCCTGAACTAATATAACCCTTTAGCACGGTGACGCTAACAAGAGATCGATTATAACATAGCTACTGTTTGATCTCACTTTGTATTGATATGAAATGCCTGCAGTTTATGTTCTCTAGTCTGATACTGTAGGTGACTGATATATAGCTATATATATCTCATACATACCTATGGGCAAAAAATCATGTGTGCTGACTTATGTCTGCGGACACAGTAAAAGTATGATAAGCCCCTTTTGGTTAAATGTTTGTCGTTGATTCAATACATATAGAAAATGAAAATAATCCAGGTGGAATCGGGGAACAGGGAGATACCTTGGTCGTTAAGGCCCCAAAACTCCCGACCGATGAAACCTTGAATAAACTAGGTAAAACAGAAGTAAGGCATAACCAAGACAGAAATTAAACGGCGCCATTGCCAAAACAATTCTTGTTATTTCCCTCAGTATTTAGGAAGGTATAATAAAACTAGCATACCGGTAACGAATATTGCCCCTTCCCCTTTCTTAAATTCCGTATTCATTCCAGTAATATATATATTTTTTCAAATTAAATATGTAAAATAGAATGTGTTCGTACAGTCGTTTGAAACAAAAATAGTTATGCAGAAGTGAAATTACTTAATCTAAATATTTACTTACCATTTTCTCTGTGTCTCGAAGTTATGTTCGTCCTGTGAGGAAGCACGGGAGAAGCCTCGTTCTACAATACGGAGTTAAGTCTTTTCTTTCCACATCGATTGTACACTGCTGTTTGTTTAAATACGAACAAGATATGTGTGTAAACTTTCTACACAACTTCAATAAACTTTCTAACAATACAATGCCTGTGTGTTTTTGTTAAACCATGTCCTTCGTACATCGACCTTCGTGAGTTTTTCCGCTGTTTTTCAAAACGTGCCTCGTCAAATGAATGCAACGCTAATACTACTAGGTGCGTAAAATAATCAATGATGTTAGAAAAAGGCTCCCTCCTTAGTATCGCCACACAAAAGATTCTGGTTTGCTACCATGTAAAGCTGTTTTGTAAGGCAGTCATTCAATAGCGTTCGTCCAAGTGATTGTTATGTACATATATATTGTATGAATTCATTTTGTATTAAAGATATCTAACTTTAAAATTTGGTTTAGGTGATTATACTTTTTTCCGTGCATTCATTGAACACTGCCATTTCTGTTTTCTACTGTAGTCCGGAATTTTGAATGTCCATTGGGATAAGTGTCGATGTACGGCACAATCAGATATATTGGCCTTCTATTCTACATATGATTTCTATGCATATTGTCTTGTTTTCCTATGATAAACGGATAACAAAAGTCACTACATTTGAATTGACATATAGGCGATCACACGTTGTAACATTAACATAAAGCTGGTTGTTAGGGGCCTGATTACCCTATTGACTGGGATGTCTATTTTTATTCGTGTGTGTATTACTGCTTTATCATTCATGGAGTTGATAATTTCCAATCCAGAGTAACTCGTACAACGTTCCTAACTGCAATATTTGTTATTAGAGAAATAAAGTTGGAGATCATTGATTTAGGTTTAAGTTTAATTTCCTGTTTCCTCCGTGAAGGGCTTCATCTCAACAATGGAGTTCCATGGAAGGTCGATATAGCAACTGGGTGAAATATGATATGCCGTTGCCTTGTAAAGTACAATATGTTATAAGCTTATAATTTTTCAAAAAAAATAAAACAAAAACTCCTAGCGGTTTTGTAATCATGTCTCAAGAACAATGTAAACAATGACTACAGTTTTTTGAAAGCGCTTTCATTTTTTCGCTGAAAAGTGACATTTGAACATTGAATTGTTGTGCACACGCAAAGACCTGCATATTACATATAAGGAAAAAAAGTACCTGCAGATGTATTCCTGAAGTATCTAGTATTTTCTTAAAATCGCTCAGAAAATGTTTCAAAGTTCTGAAATAACGACACATTTTATCAATTGGATATATCACAACTGATCATTAAACTAACAAGGCTATGTCAAGTCAAATTACCTGAGCGAGAGCCTGTTTTGAACAGTGTGAAGGTAAAAGATCATACAAGTTGTGTTTCACCTTAGCCAGCCTTGTTGCGTTTGTGTTTATTTGTTATACATGTATACTGGAAACACCTGTCATCATTCTGTCAACATTTAAATAGTTTTCTTGCAGTTTCGTAATAAACGCGACTACATATATTCCTGATGGGTACAGGTACGGGTAATAGTTTTCGTTGCATGTATTTGCATTAACCAAGGATGCGCGTGTGCATGAACAGTATTTTCATCAAACTGTTTCAACAATGGACATACTTTACATTTTTCTTAATTGTCGATTACCAAACTACTTTAACTTTATTTATTTTGCACACATGAAATACCTTAACGTTTCACTCAATTTATGTAATCAGCGAACAATCTCATCCATAGTATTGTGGTGTGCATTATAAATGTGAGATACATTAAATATTCAGATTATTCCATAACAAGGAAAGCAATTATAAAAAGAGTTTCAATGAGTCTCCATTCCACTATACATACGTATCTGTTTGTTAACAGATGTTTATACTCGCACCGATGGTATTTGACTTACATTGTACATCGCGATTGTAAGTGAGAGGAGATAGATTTATAAATAATTCAATTCTATGTATGTTGCTTATTGAAATACACTGTTCAATAGTGAGCTTTGGAAACATGTTAATACAAGGTAAAGCAAGTCCTGCAATTATAGGATAATTGTTTTCTCTTCCACGCTTGCTTCATGAAATGAATCTCGTAATTACACATATGATTGATGGTTGTTTTAAAAATGAATAAAATAATATGCATTTGTAGAGGCTTTACAGTGACTTGTCCACAGTTGATAAAGCAATTGATTGAAGTGGGTGTTGTCTGCTGATAAGTGTTGACCTTGATAACAATCATAAGTTAATAACTTAACATGCTTAATTACATGTTATTTGTCGGTTAATGATGCTGATCACACAGCTATTTGGATATTAGCTACTTAATTACGTCTAATCACGTATTTCAGTCTGAGTTTTGACGTGATGACAGAAACATGTATAGGTATATATCATAAGTTATCTTTCTACAGCATTTAAAGGATCCCGTACCGATGCCAACAACTGTAACTATGCATTACATTTTCCCCGATATTAATATAGCATCAATAAATTCCCTCTAAACAGAAACCGTGACCTTGCGGAATCAGTGTATAATAAAGAGTTTAAAGGGTGTTTCTGAGTATAATAATAGCGCCACGGGGTCAGGCCAGGACTGGAACCCCTGACTGTCGATCATTATACTGCCATTGTGAGATATGGATTATTAAAACAACAGAATTTGAAACTGATGAATGTGAGTAGGTGAATAAGTTGTTAATTTTCAATCATCATGAACCTGAATATGACGAGTTACATGTAATATTACCCCTCATCCAACGGTGAGTAGAATCGTTCACCTAATGACTTGTGGTTATTTAGCTGTAAGGACTCGTAACTGAGTTCCACAAAAAAGAAACTCATGTATACTCGGTTAATC